TTGGTTGTAGCGACATATGTGTTATGGTTGTGTGTAGCGACATATGTGTTATGGTTGGTTGTAGCGACATATGTGTTATGGTTGTGTGTAGCGACATATGTTTTATGGTTGTGTGTAGCGACATATGTGTTATGGTTGGTTGTAGCGACATCTGTGTTATGGTTGGGTGTTGGGATTTATGTGTTATGGTTGGGAGTAGTGACATCTGGGTTTTGGTTCGGTGTCACGACCTTTTGGTTGAGGTGTATTTACGAGCAACATTGTGGGACTAGGAATAGAATAGAGAATAATGAGCATATAATTGGTTTATGGCAGCAGATCTGTGGCATGAGTTCTTATGAGTTCGATCATATAAAGGTTTTCCAGTGATCCGATATTGAGCATATAGTACCAGAATATGTCGACCCAGCTGCAAATGAAATCGATCAGTACTATCCCAATGTTAAAGTCAGTAAGTTATGGTTGGGAAAGGGTTCAAGATCGCCTTGATAGGAAATAACTGAAACACATACTGGCAACAGTGTACATTGGACAAATATTGACTGCTCTAAGGGGACATGTGTTTTGTCCTGTGTATTTAATGGCATGTGCATACACGTTGTGCTTTAAATTGGTTCATTTCACATAATTGACCGTCACTGGAGTGCTTGTGGAATCGCAGTTGTTCAGTCCCTTTTGAGAGTACTTATTTCGGTGATCTCAGAGTCGACCCGGTCCTAGACAATGTGTTCTTGAGAATGGACAGTGGGTGCTGAGACATCATGTGTCGTTTGGTGAAGAATGTAAAGACACGCACCAGATTCTCCAGTATGTTACACTGGCAGAGAAAATGGGTCCCTGCAGCGCTGAGACGATTCTCTAGCAGTAGAAGAGACAACGGGAAGGCAAGTGTCGGTCTCAGTGTAGCCAAAGATAGTCTCTTAACAGATTCTGCGGCTAGGATGTGAAATGTCCAGTTCCGTTGCTGGCTGCCTTACCTTCTCGGGCGATTTTTAGAAATTCCAGAAAATGTATGGCGCCTATTTGATGGAGCTGGGTAGACTCCAGAGCTGATCGGAAAGTATCCTGTCATTTTTGTAAACTGAGCACGGACCGCTGCTTCGACACACAGCACACCAATCGCCGTGTCAGTGGGGCAGGGTCGTGTGTATTAGAACACCGTCCTGTGAGATGGTTCCCTGTGAGATGATCAGATCAGTTCCCTGTGAGATGATCAGATCAGTTTCCTGTGAGATGATCAGATCAGTTCTTTGTGAGATGATCACATCAGTTCCCTGTGAGATGATCAGATCAGTTCCCTGTGAGAGGATCACATCAGTTCCCTGTGAGATGATCAGATCAGTTCCCTGTGAGATGATCAGATCAGTTCCATATAAGATAATCAGATCAGTTCCCTGTGAGATGATCATATCAGTTCCCTGTGAGATGATCACATCAGTTCCCTGTGAGATGATCACATCAGTTCCCTGTGAGATGATCACATCAGTTCCCTGTGAGATGATCACATCAGTTTCATATAAGATAATCAGATCAGTTCCCTGTGAGATGATCAGATCAGTTCCCTGTGAGATGATCACATCAGTTCCCTGTGAGATGATCACATCAGTTCCCTGTGAGATGATCACATCAGTTCCCTGTGAGATGATCACATCAGTTCCCTGTGAGATGATCACATCAGTTTCATATAAGATAATCAGATCAGTTCCCTGTGAGATGATCACATCAGTTCCCTGTGAGATGATCACATCAGTTCCCTGTGAGATGATCAGATCAGTTCCCTGTGAGATGATCAGATCAGTTCCCTGTGAGATGATCAGATCAGTTCCCTGTGAGATGATCACATCAGTTCCCTGTGAGATGATCACATCAGTTCCCTGTGAGATGATCACATCAGTTCATTGTCTGGTATATTTTTGTCTTTTATTTTTTAATATTTCAGTTGGACAGTTTTTCAGTAACGTTTTACCGGGTATTTGCAAATCAACCCCTAGCTAGTGCTCGGCTTTGAACTCTGGTATTGTGTTTTTCCTGGAAACATCTTAACTGCTGACCATTTTTCAAATTATTGGTTTAAATCAGAGACAGGAGGAAGAAAAAGAACCAAATTGAGATCATGGATATTTGGTCTAATATTTGGTCCCAAAATTGTGAGGCATGGGCCCTTTGCCAGGAATCATCAGTGTCACGCTGGCAAGTCACGATGATCTAGGAAAGATGGCGTGGCAAATCTGTGTGATTGATATTCAACTGCGCGGAGAAAGCTGGTATTTATTTATGTTGTAATTCTGAAAGTTCGTGCCTACTCAAGACACCTTTTAGTTTGGCTGCAGATCCTGTGCAAAACTACTTGGGCACAAAACCGAAGAAGATCGTGTGTTTGCATGTTTAGATAGCCAGAACGTTTTTACTTCCATCTCACCATGCTATGTCACACAGACGCGCAGATAGCACGAATATATGACATCCTGTAATGTGGTGTCATTATATGTATATGTTAAACAGTGACATCTCACACATGCTAGCTTTTCTGGGTGGTCCAGACAAAGGCGAACCTGCAGCTCCCCACACACACACATTCGCAAGTTTGTTTTACCTGCGTCCGTCGTGTGCCACTTGCCAGCTTTAATCGAAACTGGATGTCAAATGTTAAGAAAAGAATACTGCACAGTTCTTGCCGTTTGTGTGTGTGTGTGTGTGTGTGTGTGTGTGTGTGTGTGTGTTGTGTGACTTCCATTTTCACCTGAAGTTTTCACTAACTTTGCAAAATTCAGTAGATAAATGTAATTAAATTAAGCGTTTATCTTTCTTGTTAGTTAGTTTGTCAGTTTTCTTGCTGTGTGTGAAGTGCGTCTAATCAGCCTAATGCCATAAATAATAATGTAAATGTATTATTTCTGTGTAGAAAGTTGCGTCTGCTTGTATGCTGTTTTATTTCTGACAGTAAGCCTTTTTAATTAACCCTGCGTGTTCTTGAGCATATTGGTTTGTGTTCTAGTCGACAAACATCTGTCTGTGACATAGTTGACCAGTATCTAGGTCTGTGATATAGTTGATCAGTACCCAGGTCTGTGATATAGTTGATCAGTACCCAGGTCTGGGATATATTTGATCAGTACCCAGGTCTGTGATATAGTTGATCAGTACCCAGGTCTGTGATATAGTTGATCAGTACCCAGGTCTGTGATATAGTTGATCAGTACCCAGGTCTGTGATATAGTTAATCAGTACCCAGGTCTGTGATATAGTTAATCAGTACCCAGGTCTATAATATAGTCCATCAGTATTCAGGTCTGTGATATAAGTCGATCAATATCCAGGCCTGTGATATAGTTGATCAGTATCTAGGTCTGTGATATAGTTGCCAAGTATCTAGGTCTGTGACATAGTCGACCAGTATATAGGTCTGTCACATAGTTGCCAAGTGTCTAGGTCTGTGACATATTTGCCAAGTATCTAGGTCTGTGATGTAGTTGCCAAGTATCTATGTGATGTAGTTGCCAGGTATCTAGGTCTGTGACATAGTTACCAGTTATCTAGGTCTGTGGCATAGTTGCCAAGTATCTATGTCTGTGATGTAGTTGCCAAGTATCTATGTCTGTGATGTAGTTGCCAAGTATCTGTGACTGTGATGTAGTTGCCAGATATCTAGGTCTGTGACATTTGCCAAGTATCTATGTCTGTGATGTAGTTGCCAGGTATCTAGGTCTGTGATGTAGTTGCCAGGTATCTAGGTCTGTGATGTAGTTGCCAGGTATCTAGGTCTGTGACATAGTCGCCAAGTATCTAAGTCTGTGACATAGTTGCCAAGTATCTAGGTCTGTGACATAGTTGCTAAGTATCTAGGTGTGTGACATAGTTGCCAAGTATCTATGTCTGTGACATAGTCGACCAGTATCTAGGTCTGTGACATGGTCGACCAGTATCTAGGTCTGTGACATAGTTGCCAAGTATCTTATTTTTAATTCGCCTAAAGCAAAGGAAATCCCAGAGTTTCCGGTAAACTCTAATACTCTAGGGAACTTATGGATTGCGCTTAGGGTTGAGGTTAGGATCATTATCAGCTCCGACGGCCTCAGAGACACCGATTAACCCTACCTCTAACTCTAACCCTAACCCCAATCCATAACACCCCTAGAATACTAGACTTTCCCGGAAACGCCGGGATTTCCTGTGTTTTAGGGTTAATTAAAAATAAAGTCCCACGTTTGTCGAGCCCAGTGGTTGTCCTATGGCTCCAAAATCGAAACAAGCCAAGAAGAGTGACAGGAAATTCCCCGGACAGTAAAGAAGGTGTGATGATGATGATGACTCCATAACCCCATAACCCATCAAGGACCGATGAGTCTCTAAACTTGATAATACTTAGATATCAGAAGGGGGTCTACAACAATCTACTTGACTAAAGTAGGTCAGGGGTCAACCACAATTGGTTATAGTAACGTTGTCCAGCCCAGAAAGAGAGTGACCTCCCTTGCCATTTATGCCTCGTCGTGTCGCAGGGCCAGTTCTATGTTGCGGGGGTGTCACGCTTAGTGACCGTCCAGCAACATATAGTATTTTACTCGTTGTTGTCAGCGGACGGCGATATCGCATGTTATGTATTCAGCTATGGGAGCGACTATAGGCATAGTTCGTAGTGATCCTATTCCAGATTTTTAAATATATGACCTCTCGAGGCCCTGAATGGGCTTTTTTAAACAGTGAGTAATTTTGGACCGGTACTCGGAAGAGTGCCTTATTTCACTATGGTTTCACTAACATTGTTTTCTACTTGTAAGACCTGACCTTCCTTCAGCATATTAAAATAATACCTGTTTTGTATTTCCAGGTTTTCTCACCAGCCTGCGAGTATTTCTGCCCAAGCTTTCCCTACGCCATCGCCGTCGCCTCCTTGGGACCGAGGGTTCCATCAGCACTCCTACATCGCCCTTACGCCCCCACCAAGTGTCCCGGCAGCAGCATCAACCAGGCTGCTGACGTCCTCTCCATCGCCCGTCGCCATGGCTCAGCTGGTGCACAACCCTGCACAGATGGTCATCGTACCTGCAACAGCCAACCCCAACGGCAAAGACTCCAGGTGGCTGACCCTGGAGGTCTGCAGGGAGTTCCAGAGGAGTAAATGCTCTCGCTCGGATAATGAATGCAAATTCGCCCATCCTCCCCCGCATGTAGAGGTGCAGAACGGTCGAGTGGTAGCCTGTTTTGACTCTATAAAGGTAAAGATCTGTTTATTTGTATGTTGATCAAGTAAATAACAGTGTGTATGCCATCGCTATGTATTGTATGTAATGATCTAGGTGTCCATCTGTCACTTGTGGAAGTAAGCGTATGTGCTGTCAAATGCTATAATTGAAAAAAGTAGAGATCTGTATGCCCATGTATTATCCTGTACATATCAATGTGTTAATAATATACAGTTCATATTTTGATTCTTCAAATATGAGTTTCTGTCATCGCTATTTAAAGTAATGGTCTGTTTATCTGTCTGTTGATTCCGTAAATAAAATATCGGATTTTTTTTTTTTTTTTGGGGGGGGGGGGGGGGGGGGGGGGGGGGGGGAGCTTTAGGGGTAGGGGAGAGAGACAACCTAGCGTCCCCTCCCCCAACCTCAACAAGCATGTAGTCAAAGGCGACTACTTAGGGCAGTGATTCACAAACTGTGGGCCCCTAGTAGCCGCGACCTCTTCACGAGAGAGAGAGAGAGAGAGAGAGAGAGAGAGATAGATAGATAGATAGATAGATAGATAGATAGATAGATAGATAGATAGATAGATAGATAGATAGATAGATAGATAGATAGATAGATAGATAGATAGATAGATAGATAGATAGATAGATAGATAGATAGATAGATAGATAGATAGATAGATAGATAGATAGATAGATAGATAGATAGATAGATAGATAGATAGATAGATAGATAGATAGATAGATAGATAGATAGATAGATAGATAGATAGATAGATAGATAGATAGATAGATAGATAGATAGAGTGATAGAGTGATAGATAGATAGATAGATAGATAGATAGATAGATAGATAGATAGATAGATAGATAGATAGATAGATAGATAGATAGATAGATAGATAGATAGATAGATAGAAGGATGGATGGATGGATGGATGGATGGATGGATGGATGGATGGATGGAACATTTTCTGAGCCCAGTGTCAGAACAACGATACGCCGACTCGTAGAACATTTTCTCAGCCCAGTGTCGGAACAACGATACGCCGACTCGTAGAACATTTTCTCAGCCAGTGTCAGAACAACGATACGCCGGTTCGCAGAACATTTTCTGAGCCCAGTGTCAGAACAACGATACGCCGACTCGCAGAACATTTTCTGAGCCCAGTGTCAGAACAACGATACGCCGACTCGTAGAACATTTTCTCAGCCCAGTGTCGGAACAACGATACGCCGGCTTGTAGAACATTTTCTGAGCCCAGTGTCGGAACAACGATACGCCGACTCGTGGAACATTTTCTGAGCCCAGTGTGAACGCCGACTTGTAGAACATTTTCTGAGCCCAGTGTGTGAACGCCGGCTTGTAGAACATTTTCTGAGCCCAGTGAACGCCGGCTTGTAGAACATTTTCTGAGCCCAGTGAACGCCGGCTTGTAGAACATTTTCTGAGCCCAGTGAACGCCGGCTTGTAGAACATTTTCTGAGCCCAGTGAACGCCGGCTTGTAGAACATTTTCTGAGCCCAGTGAACGCCGGCTTGTAGAACATTTTCTGAGCCCAGTGTGTGAACGCCGGCTTGTAGAACATTTTCTGAGCCCAGTGTGTGAACGCCGGCTTGTAGAACATTTTCTGACACTTCTTTCTGGAAAACCAAAAATGTTTCACTTGATCACCAAGACATCTGTTTGTTCTAGGCAGGGGGATTGTGTGAGCTCAGGTGTACGGTATTAGCAGACAAGAAAATCCACCACTCTTGCGACACTACAACAGTAGCATTCAACAGTAGCATTACGGATATGGTTGATACAGTTACAGCGCCTATTCAACTTCTCATTGTCCTCGATGTGTCGCCATATGAGGGTCATAAATAATAGCTTGATATTTGCACTGGTGTCACTTTTTAATGGAATTACATTTGACATTCCAACCAGGGCTGTCGAAATTCACGTGGCTGTGGTACCTAATATTTTTGAATGGGTACCAAAACACACACAGGCGGTACCAAATTTTAATTGTTTTTCATTTTAAAACCTTTAAAACGGCTTTGAAAAAAAAACAAAAACCTTACATATGTAACCGGCTTTCCTTATATTCGATCAGAAACGAAACCCTATGTCTATTACAAAATTGCTATATCATTTAGTTTTTTTTTTAGCTTAGTTTGTTACACAGATGTGAGCGGCTTCCAGTTTGTGCAGCGAATGTCGTAGGTAGGGCAATAATTATTATTTCAAGGGTAAAAAAGTACCAGATTTGTACGAAAGTACCAACCTCGGCAGCCCTGGATTTCATCGCAGTCAGTTTAAGTGGATATCTGCCTTTCTGTCATGAGTGCTTTCTGTGTCGTGGGGGCGGAGGGGGGGGGGGGGGGGGGGGGGAGAATGGGAAGCTTTGGTTGTGTTTATAAATTGATTTCTTCTTACATATTAACTGATGCCTGGTCATAGCTTCCATCATGTAATTGTGGGAGTAGGAGGCTGTAACACCAGCTTTCCGACGGTTAATCGGCAGTACACCTGATGACTTTCCGTGGTGTAACTGACTACCTGAACATGCACTAGGAGTTAGAAACGGACATACCATTGGTGGAGCCACGGGTGGAGCAACTGATAGAGTTATTATTAACTCAGTATAGAACACACTGTTCTTCTTGGAGCCAGTCCTTCCACCTGAGATAGTGGTGACTTTGTTCTTCTTGGAGCCAGTCCTTCCACCTGAGGTAGTGGTGACTTCTGTTCTTCTTGGAGCCAGTCCTTCCACCTGAGGTAGTGGTGACTTCTGTTCTTCTTGGAGCCAGTCCTTCCACCTGAGGTAGTGGTGACTTCTGTTCTTCTTGGAGCCAGTCCTTCCACCTGAGGTAGTGGTGACTTCTGTTCTTCTTGGAGCCAGTCCTTCCACCTGAGGTAGTGGTGACTTCTGTTCTTCTTGGAGCCAGTCCTTCCACCTGAGGTAGTGGTGACTTCTGTTCTTCTTGGAGCCAGTCCTTCCACCTGAGGTAGTGGTGACTTCTGTTCTTCTTGGAGCCAGTCCTTCCACCTGAGGTAGTGGTGACTTCTAGGTCAGCTTCTAAGCCTGTAGTTCGGGGATAGAAGGAGTCAGATATGAAATAGATCAGCTTTTAGACACTGATGCTATTAATGTGTTACATTTATACGAACGCTGTCAGTATAGATCACATATCGTTTACAGATAACTATAAATATGTAAAGTTTATACACATACTAAATATGTTACACATATATATATATGAACTAACATAAGTAAAATTTTTACACAAGCTATACTGTATAAGTGTACAAAAGATATACATATGAAACAGTTATGCGTAACATATAAATGGTTACCATATATACATACTGTGTATATATATGTAACAGTTATACACCAGCTGTGGAAGGTTTAGACTGGAGGAGAACGTTGACTCGCACCTGTAGACTGTACCGTTGTTGCTGCTGCCAGGGTCTGTGCTTGTCTGTTTAACCTGATTAATGAGGGAAGCACAGACGCCTTTTTGGGTACCTTGTATGGGGTTTATGTGTCAGGGGTCCTTTTCACGTTTCCCGACCATATACACACTACCTAATCTTCTATTCATACTTTCTCAGACTCTTCTACGTTGGAGTGATGTCATATTGTTTTCGCTCCAGTTACATCCGCGCCGATTTCGCGTGTTCTATATTAAACGACGACACAGCTTTCAACGACCCCAGAACACGTAGAACTGGCCCTAAATCTACCCCCTTCTCCTTCCCCTTCCTCTTACCCACAGCCTCAGTCTAGGATCACACGAGAGACTCTTTTCAAAGACGCGGTATTGTTTGTTTGTTTGTTTTAGTATCCAGAAGCCTTGAGTTGTTAACCCTTAGGCTCGGTATTATGGATATCGCAACCTTTCGGCCTTGATTCCATTGTAAATACCGTAAATCTGGGAGAAAATGTGGCTTTCCTGCCTACCCCCGGGATTGAACCCGGACCACAAGGAGTACGTCACCCGGTCTCCGCGAAATCCGGTTTAGCCAATTCCGCTAGAGAGCCGGGCAAAGACGCGGTATAACATGATACCTCTCTGACCTAAATCGGACAAAGTGTGTATATTTGGGCCGGCAAACGTGAACAAGTCCGTATGAGCCGTTTTATTGCATGTACACACACACACACACACACACACACACACACACTCACCATTATCTTCTTGTATTCAGCCGTGAGTGACCGATTACGTTGTCTGCTCAGAGTGATTGCAGGCGGCTGGGGCAATGGTCTGTGGACAGACTGTTGCTGGAAAGAATGTCTGCTGAACAAATCTGGATGTAAATAAATAGGGGAAAACATCCTGGACAGATAAGACATCCTATTTTATGTCCTATTTAAATAAACATGGAAAGATACTTGCAAATTCAGACCAGGGATGCACTAACCCATTAGGATTTGATAACAGGTAAACTCAACAGGTTGCCCTAGAAGATCTGGTTTCGTTTTTGCTTTGTGGTCGAGTGAAGTGTCTGAGATTTACTCCTGTTTGATAGTATCCGAATAATGGTACTTTGAGTCACTGGATATCTCGGAGAGCAAAGGTTTAAAAAATTAGGATAGCTAAAAGACATAAACTAAAATTCTTGTAGAGAGCCTGTGGGTAAAATAAAGAAAGATCATGTATTACTTCATTATCTAGAATGGCAAGAGTTTTATGTTTGTCATGAGGTATCATGGGGCCTGACCTAGAAGCAGAAACCTCTTAAACGTCTCCCCCCCCCCCACATCCCTTGTTTTTTCAGCCTGTATTGAACACAGTTTAGCTTGCTAACCTACTTGTCGTACCCCACCAAGACATCACACAAGCGATAAACACCCGGTGACACAAAGTGCCACCATGTGGATGAGCATCACCCGTGGAGAGGTCCCAGAAACCGTGTTCAGTCGTTAAGGCCATAATCGTGGCCCAGCTATACTCAGGGCCCCGGCAAAACTCAGGGTGGGGCTTCAAATAACGACAAATTGCACATCCCACATGGGAAACGACAACAGAA